AACTGAAACGGATCTCAATGAGATTAAGCGTAAAGACGTCTGCACCATTGATCTCAAGGAGCAAGACTGCTATCTAGCATACAGGACTGGAGGGATCCAAGACATGGCTAACAATCCTATACAGGGTTGTCGTGAACTATGAACTCTTTATAATGGACTCATGGACTCTTTTTAATGGACAATCTCCTTTAGATTAATTGCATAGTTTACATGCACTGCATACACATTTTATAGTTTTAAAGGCTTTTTTAAAGATTGTTTATTGTTGTTTTGACACTAATATTTTTCCTATTTTTTATTCTACAATGCTGTTTTAAAATATATACTATTTAAACATTATTCCTTATTTTATATTTACTGAGCGCTAGTCTAAAAATATTGAAATGCACAAAGCCATCTATGGGCTGAGCTGCTACTCCATAGCCAACGCCCACGTGACGTGTGTCGACCATTAATTGGATCACCATGAAGGAGAAAGCTCAGGAGAAAGAAAAGGCGAGAGAAAAAGCGCCTGGCAAATACTACTCACATCTTGTGACCTTCAAGTAAGCATCCTAAACTATAGACCAGAGTTGTTCTACATTGAAACACAGGCAGCCATGGGAGGAATTCGTCCAAGCTCTATGGCAGCGCTACCCTAATCCATACAGCAAGCACGTGCTTACTGAAGACACAATCTCAAGGTGACTCCTGTAGGCAGTATAGGCATTAGGTATTTACCATAGTCATTATATTTCTATAGGTGGACCAAGGGACGCCAACTGTTTACCAAGCGATTGATAACTAAGACAAACCCTATACCAAAGTGGGCAGAGAAAGTATGATGGTAGAAGCTGCCATGCTTGCTTTAATTAACATTTTACGCTTGAGGTGTTACTTGAAGTGTGAACAAGCATGATTAGCTTTTGATCATAGAAAATTTGAATAAGACTTATTCATAATTAATTAGAATACATATACAGTCAAGAGGGCAATGCAGTAACTTGCCTGTACTTGCTAATGGAGATAAAGATAAAAAGGCTGTTGCTGTGTAAACTAGACACAGACCAATGAATTATAGTTTTATATAATATAACTGATTTAAATGAGAAGGATTTGTCTATGTCTGTAGCAGCTGTTTGGTTGTGTATGTTTAATATTACAATATTTATCCCTTCCATTTTAATTATAATCCTCAGTAGATTAGTATGTGTCTAATAATATTAATTCTAGCACTTAGTATTGATCTCTACATGTATAGGCTTTAGGTGACAAGAAAGCTGTCTTTATTGAAGAATCTATTGTCAATTCAGAGACTAAAACATTTGTGACGTACAATCGTAACATTACACAGACAAGATTCATAACAATGGTAGAGAAATGCACTTACAGAATATCACCGGATAATCCTAAATGGTAAGATTTACCTTAATTAGGGTTGTAACATTCAGCTGTCTTATTGTATAATGTAGAAAGTTTGAATAGAATTTGATCAAAAGTGGATTTTACGAATTTTTATGATAGGGAAATTTTATAATACATTGTGTTTGTAAATACCCACACACACTTAATGCATCATTTTTAATGTCCTTATGCTATGTAGAAAATTTGAGCTGATTCTGACAAACACTTTTTGTGTTATGGCCATTTAATTAAATTAGCTGTTTTTTAAAAAGAAAATGCTATGGGTTTTTCTGAAAATTGGCTCCGAAATCACCCCAATTTTTAATTATATTTTCTGATACATATTGGTGTCCTTATTCTGTGTAGAAAGTTTGAGCTGTTTCCGACAGATAATTTTTGAGTTATGGCTATTTAATTAAATCGGCCATAGCCCATGGTTTTTCTCTAAAAATTGACTCCAAAATCTCCCAAAATTTTCATTACATTTTCTGATACATATTGATGTCCTTATGCTCTCTAGAAAGTTTGAGCTGATTCAAACAGATAATTTTTGAGTTATGACCATTTAATTAAATCGGCCAATTTTTGAAAAAAAGCAAAGGCTATAGCCCATGGTTTTTTCGGAAAATGGGCTCTGAAATCAACCCAAATTTTTACTACATTTTCTGATACATATTTATGTCCTTATGCTCTGTAGAAAGTTTGAGCTGATTTGAACAGATAATTTTTGAGTTATGGCCATTTAATTAAATCGGCCAATTTAAAAAAAAAGCAAAAAAACCAAGGGCTATAGTCCATGGTTTTTTTCTGAAAATTGACTCCAAAATCACCCGAAATTTTTGTTACATTTTCTAATACATATCGATGTCCTTATGCTCTGTAGAAAGTTTGAGCTGATTCTGACAAATAATTTTTTAGTTATGGCCATTAAATTAAATCGTCCAATTTTTGAAAAAAAGCAAAGGCTATAGCCCATGGTTTTTTCTGAAAATTGGCTCTGAAATCACCCGAAATTTTCATTACATTTTCTGATACATATTGATGTCCTTATGCTCTGTAGAAAGTTTGAGCTGATTTGAACAGATAATTTTTGAGTTATGACCATTTAATTAAATTGGCCAATTTTTGAAAAAAAGCAAAGGCTATAGCCCATGGTTTTTTTCTAAAAAATTGACTCCAAAATCACCTGAAATTTTTATTACATTTTAATGCATATTGGTGTTTTTATACTGTGTAGAAAGTTTGAGCTGTTTTCGACAAATATTCTTCTTCTGTACCCTAAAATAATCTCAAATTTATGCATAAAATTTTTAAGGCCCCAAATGAAACTGCATGAGAAAGTGTAGAAACCTTTGCCTCTAAGTTTAAACTAGTAGACAATGTAACATACTTCAATACACATTCTTACATTGTGTAGAAAGTTTAAATTATTTCCAATCAAAATTAAATTTAAAAATCATTTAAGCTTCTTTAAAATTTGACCAGAGACCATTATTGTATGTGTGTTACCATTGGTAGAATGCTATACCACTTTACTAGGTCTATTACACCTATTACTATTACACCATACCCACTAGTGATGGACTATTTATTAATATAGGACCTCCTGTTTTAAGGAAGCCTGGATTCAATGCAAAGTATACGGGTTGTCTCGTGTTGTAGAAAAGCTCAGTATGGAGAGATACAAGTCAAATGCACGGAAAGTAAGTTTCTTAATAATCAACCCTCTTCTGATTTTGATTACCTGATTCAGGCAGAGCTTGGAATACAGTTTATACTTGACAAGATGTTCAACACTGCTAATCAAGTTGTGCAAACTATTAAAGATAACCTTTGATGGCTTAGTTGAAATTATAGAGAATAAATTTTTATTTAATGTACAATAGTAAATTTATTTTTTGGAGGTGTGGCGACCACGTGGTTACACGTGGTCGGCCTAACCGTTGTCAAGCCAACAGGAGATTGTGGATAAACAATGTCCTCTTTGTCTTGTGAGGGTAAAGAGCCTTCACAGCACTCCCTCCCGTCTTATCAGTTAACTAGACTTGGACTACCACCATATTCCCAGGTTATTAGTAAGTCAAATCTTGATGAAGGCCCTAAACTCCTGCAGGATCAACCGATCCACTTCAACATGCAATCACTCCAGTACATTGATGTTGATGTGGCTCCACAGCGAGTAATCACGTTACACTTATTGCCAATCTGTGTTTATGCATCATATGGTTCTTTTTAGGTGAGGCTGAAGGTTGCTCAACCACTTATGATCACTCCAAATTCGTACCTAAAACTAACGATTTTCCTATTTGTTCTGCTGAGTATCATTGCACCTCACACACTACCCTGCATGACAATAGCTCTAGTCTTGTCATATAAAGTAAGCATTAATAGCAATACATTTATTATAAATTCTTTCCATAGAGTCACTGTGCAAGCAAAGTGGGGAGATTTGTCAAAGGCAAATATTACGGATGGTCAGCTCTGTTCTTTGATGTCTTGTCAATTCTTATTAGTATTGTAGCTATAATGGCTGCTGCAATACTGCTCTATCTATACCAGCCATGGAGAGCCAGTGACTACAGGAATTGTTATTATCCATACGACCAGGAAAACAATCGCTACAACTACAGTGGCCCATTCTATTGCTCATGATCAAAATCAATAATTATTATTAATTTCCTCATGACTTAAATAATAATTGTTATTAACAGTTATTCCGACAATACAATTAAAATATTACAAAGAGATTGGAGTTACTCCACAGACTCAGGGTCACTCTCACTATTGTCTTGTTGTTGTATGTGCAAGCTGTTAGTGATGGTAGCCGCTAGTAATTGTTCCTCTAGTAATTCATCTTCATCGACATCAAATAATTCTTCGTCTACTGGTATGTCACCATCTTCCTCAGTGAAAAGCATCTCATCGATCTGTACAGGGTCTGCTCCTCCCACTGCTCCTTTAGGAACAACTTCATCGTCGTCGTCGTCGTCATCATCTCCTTGGTGGTGTGTTACGGTTGCCCATTCATTGTTGAAGTTAGTTAAATCAACTGCAGTAGCTCCACCGGCATCATCCTAAAATGTGATGATACAATAACATCACTAACTCACTATACACATACATGTACTGTAGCATCAACTGAATAATGCAGGACTCAAATAACAGTCAGACATTGGACATTTTCTGACCATTTTGCTCAATTTTCCAACCAAGTTCTGTATTGTTCTACCATTTTTTCTGAGCAACATAATTTTAATTAATTAATATTGAAAGCAATTTAACATAATAACCAATTAATCATGTTCCCAAAAAGTACTAAACAGCATGCTTCATGACTAGAATGGCATTTTACCAAGTTTAAAAATTCATTAAAAAATTCAAATTTAATCAGAATCAGCTCTAAGTTGATACACAGCATCAAGACATGTATTTGTATCAGCAAATATTCTAAAAATGGAGAATTCTTCCCTAGTCACTTTCTACAAAATTTGGTCACAAACCAAAGGCTATTTATTTAGCCTTGGGCATTCTTCATAATTTTGGTATTTTCTTAAAATGGCCGTAACTTTAAAAATCTTATTCGGAATCAGCTCAAATGTTTTACATAGCATAAGGGCATCAATATGTATTAGAAAATGTAATAAAAATTTGGGGTGATTTCGGAGCCATTTTTTGGAAAAAACCATGGGCTATAGCCTTGGGTATTCTTCATAGTTTTGGCGTTTTCTTAAAATGGCTGTAACTTTAAAAATCTTATTCGGAATCAGCTCAAATGTTTTACATAGCATAAGGGCATCAATATGTATTAGAAAATGTAATAAAAATTTGGGGTGATTTCGGAGCCATTTTTTGGAAAAAACCATGGGCTATAGCCTTGGGTATTCTTCATAGTTTTGGCGTTTTCTTAAAATGGCTGTAACTTTAAAAATCTTATTCGGAATCAGCTCAAACTTGCTACACAGCATAAGGGCATCAATATGCATTAGAAAATGTAATAAAAATTTGGGGTGATTTTGGAGCCATTTTTTGGAAAAAACCAAAGGCTATTTATTTAGCCTTGGGCATTCTTCATAATTTTGGTATTTTCTTAAAATGGCCGTAACTTCAAAAATCTTATTCGGAATCAGCTCAAATGTTTTACACAGCATAAGGGCATCAATATGTATTAGAAAATGTAATAAAAATTTGGGGTGATTTCGGAGCCATTTTTTGGGAAAAACCATGGGCTATAGCCTTGGGTATTCTTCATAATTTTGGCATTTTCTTAAAATGGCCGTAACTTTAAAAATCTTATTCGGAATCAGCTCAAACTTTCTACACAGCATAAGGGCATCAATATGCATTAGAAAATGTAATAAAAATTTGGGGTGATTTCAGAGCCATTTTTTGGGAAAAACCATGGGCTATAGCCTTGGGTATTCTTCATAATTTTGGCGTTTTCTTAAAATGGCCGTAACTTTAAAAATCTTAGTCGGAATCAGCTTAAATTTTCTACACAGCATAAGGGCATCAATGTGTATTTTAAAATGTAATAAAAATTTGAAGTGGTTTTGGAGCCATTTTTTTGGAAAAAAAACCATGGGATATAGCCTATAATTTTGGCGTTTTCATAAAATGGCCGTAACTTAAAAAATCGTAGTTGGAATCAGCTCAAACTTTCTACACAGGATAAGGACATCAATTTGTATCAGAAAGTATAATAAAAATTTAGGGTGATTTTAGAGCCATTTTTTGGGAAATACTATAGCCTTGGGTATTTTTCAGAATTTTGGTGATCTCTTACAATGGTTATAATCTAAAAATTTTAAGTCAGAATCAGCTCAAACTTTCTACACAGCATTAGGACATAAATATGCATTTAAAATGCAATAAATTTCAGAGCCTGTCCAATTGTTTTACAAAAATGGCAGATCAAATTAAGCAATGTTCAGACACAATGTCTGAACATTGTTTGAATGTAATTTAAGGCTCTGACATGTACATATAATCATAAGTATTTAATTAGCTTGAACTATGCCATAAAGTTTGAGCCAATTTGGAAAATTGAAATTAGTATTATCATTATTACTTCATCATCTTCTCTTGGTATCATGACTACAGTCTCTTCATCATCTTCACCATCTCCTCCTTCTCCCTTCAGTTCAGGATTAAACTCAAACATCTCTCTACCACTGATCTATCAATAGAGAATCATCAATTAGTAACAGCAGAACCTTATCATAATATTTCTACTTACCCCAACTGTCCTTCCTGCCTTCATTGCTTCTTTCTTTTTGCTAGTATCAACTGCTAGTTTATCTTTCTTTTCTTTTAACTAAAATCCGAATATTCACAATCAATTAATTATACCATACATGTATAAAGAAAATATTATGCATTTTTACACATACATGTAATTCAATTTTAATCCAAATATCTTTATGACACAAAAATTAACTAGTTCCAATATCAGAGTATCAGTTATAATAAAAATGTACCTTTCTTTTCTTCCAGGCTAAGAATGATTCCAGAGTCACCTTAGTAAGAGTTTTACCCGAGCTCAGCAGCTTTTGTCTCTGAGAGAGAGAGAAGATAATTATACAGCTAACTATCAACTAATAAATACCAACCTCCTCTTCCACTAGTTGTTCCATGGTAATATCAGGCTCAGCACTAGCATCTTCCGGTCCCTTCTTCTTTGTTTTGAAAACAAACCCAGGGGGTAGACAGTGACGATAAATGCACTTATCTCCTCCATTAGGACACTCCCAAAACCAGCCATACTTACCATCTTCTATAGCTTGAAGGAAAAACTTGCAAACCTATAAAATTTATTATTATTTAGTTTAAAACTATTCGATACTTACTATTTCAGTTTTAGGCATGACTTTGGCGCCATGTTTCTTATCTACTACCTCCTTCAACTTCTCCTCATCCCAAGTATCAATAGTGTCTGTAATAATTAATAAAAATAATATTCTAACTTTGTCTATTACAATTAATATTTTTCCTATTTATTCTATGGAGCTGTATCATCACACACTCATGTCATAAATATTGTAATTACCATTTTCCAAGTCTCTAGCATCTACATACATGCTCCTCTTTTCTGATTTCCCTTCTAATGATAGATCATGTGAGAATTTACACTTGTCTCCTTTGGTGCACATTCCTTGTTTGTAAAACACACAGAGGACAGACTTTGGGTCAGCGTCTGCTGATAGTTTTTGTGCTTTGGCGACAGGTTTAAAAAGAGAGTCCATCTCTTTCTTTGACTCTAAATCTGAGAGCTTCTTTTTCTAAAAATCAATAATAATACATGTATTACATTATGTTTATTCATTTCTATCATAATCTATTATCAATATTAATTAATTAAAACATTTTAGCTTATATTCTTTCCTTTGGACAGTAAGTCAGTAGTATTGAAAATTTTAAAAACTTAATTAATCTATAAATCTTTACAGTTGATTCAATATAACTGAGGAAGGCCAAACTACAACCTGGCTAGTGAGGCTGTTTATTCCAATATACCTTTGCTTCAAATTGCATTGCTTCAAGTTTCTGTGAACTTTGTTGTCCATATTTGACTTGATTTTGTACATTTTTAATAAATTGTTGTTGTTTTTTCCCTTTCTTGTTCTTCAGTCCAAATGTCTTGTCCTATTAACAAATAATTTACATCACAAAATCCAGTACACCTAAGATGATACCTCTATTATTTTCTCTTTCTTCTTTTCGACTGTCTTTTTACTTGGCTCACTTTTCTTCTTTGGAGGCATGACCTAGTTGACCAAAATCACAAGTTTTTAAATAAACGGGTTGGCTAGAAATAATTTTTTCGCTTTTATAAATCTAGATACGGTATTTGAATTTGGATGTACTCTCTACCATATATCTATGTCTCTACTATACTCTTGACATTATTGACGGAAAAATAATAACAGTAAAAATGAGACACTTAAAAATTATAAATCCAATCCTCTTCTAGAATTTGAATGGCCCTATGGCTCTGTCTGTCTTCATTAATTTATAAATCCCATAAGCCTACAATAGTACACATCATCATGCATGTGAAGACTATAATATAAAATATCACTCATCACAAGTGCACAGTATAATCATGAAAAAAATGTAAACCATAAATTTTAAGTTTATTACTCAAAATAAAATAAACATGCACCTAAAATTTAAATCAATCTCGTCTTGGTCCGTGTTCTGATTGGTATTTCCAAATTATCCTCAACCTACAATTATACATGTAATTAATTTCTAAAAAGCTGATTTTAGCAGGTAATACACTTCATTATGAACCATTAACTGATTGTACATGTACATGATGAAACATGAGGCTTACTGACCTTGCTTCCTCTGCCTCTTGTATTTCTGATCTCTCTTTATCTGTTAACTCTTTCATTGTCTCTCTATTGTCTCTAAATAATTATAAACAGTAAGAGGTGTATGTAAGTGTGTGTGTATACATAATGTGTGTGTGTGTTCATTAGTACTTGTAATATATGACATATCCATCACCATACAAATGTAGTTCATATAAGTATTTGTCTGAATTGATGGAATACCATGTCAACTTATTCTCAATATCAAGACATGATATCTCAATGGGAAATGATTTACCCTAATACAATCAGAGAGAGTATTAATATGTGAATGATTCACTGATTATAACCTCTGCACAAGAGATATACTTAGCAGCAACTCCACTTAACTTTGATAACTGTAGGAACAATAATAATAAATTAATAATGTGTACAGTAATTGTTAAATTAATGTATATATATATATATATATATATATATATATATATATTATATATATATTGTACCCCAATTAAGCCTATAGTGTGTACTAATTTTAGTAAATTTAGCATAAGATTTTTAAAATGATGGTTTATGGTGGTTAATTTAGTGGATCGGTGGGTATTGTCAGTAGTTGATATAGTTATAGTGAAATAAAATGGTGCAGGTATCAAATGACAGTAAGATCAAAAGTAAGATAATAGTATTGTGTAGCTACACCACACCATTCATGCAAAGGATGTGGTCTGGTTACATGGAACTACCATATAGCGAGTATATTCCGTCAGAGTTTGATTTTGTTCTTTTCGTTCTCATTCCTTGTGGAATGAATATCTTCTAAACAAAAAAGGCGTTTCCTCAATGCCACGTGTACAAAATGGCTGCTTAGAAGTTCTAGTTAGAACGAAAATAAAACGAATGAAAATTTCTAATCCTGCTTAGAACGGACATTTTTCCAGACGAAATATACCCACTATATGGTATACACTAAACTACTGTTCAATCCAGCAGTGCAGATAAAAATCTTCATTGATGTAAAGGAGTGACAAAAGTTTGAAGCCTGGAAGAACATTATAGTGAGTGTGGTGAGTGTTTCATAACATAATGAAGAGCCATGAACTAACTTAAGCTTAAAGTTCTGAGCAATCATGGGTGTGCATTGACATCAAGATCTACTGTTACAGTATGTTATGATGTTAACATTAACTCTTTGCTTGCTTATTAGTTTGTTATACATTCTTCATTTTTCAATAGTGTTTATATTAAAAAGCATTCAATTTGAAAAACTCTAAAATTAGCAATGCCAATTGCCAGTATTCAAAAAATACAAATCAATACATGTTAAAAAGTAGGACAAACAATGATACTGAACTATATTAGCACACACAGTGTTATTAACATCCATGTGATACTGCTACATGTATATAGTTACATGTACTATATAAAACATTGAGGGGGTCCGCATTCTGGCCATACCTCCTATCACACCTCCAAATGTACAGTATGCATACAGAAATTCTCACAAGTAAGGGCTTCATCCAATTAAATCATACTATACATTATTATAACTAATACCTTTATAATAGCATGCCTAGCAGAATAATCATTATCCAGTATAATTTCTTCTATTGGATCAACTGAACATTGTGACGGATGCCATCTTATAACATACACCTGAGTCTGTCTTTTATTCTTCTTCTCTGGCTCTAAGAAATTAATATAGAATTAATAACTTAAAACTTACTATAAATATCTACATCAAGTAAAATACAATACAATTTGAAAACATTGTATAATTATGTAGATGGATATTTTTATAAAAATTTAAACTTTGTGGTTTGCAAAATTACATGCACAATTGCACATGCATGGCCAGGTCAATGCTTAATTATCATTGATTTTTAATCAATCCATGAACTTTTAAAATCCAGATTTCCAGCTATAGTTGTACATGTACTGAAATACTGACCCTGCAATAGTTCTACATACATGTACATGCTCTGCCTCCGAAAATGCATGTAAAAAGAGTAATGTAGCTCATGATCAAAAAGATTCATGTATATTAAACCAGGGCTCATTCCATTCTTCTTACGCAATCTCATTCTACACAATAAGTCACATGACAGTCACATGATAGTCACATGATGTACTTACTTGTCTAATTCAAGGACATAGTCAATTCCTTGTACTTTTGCTTCTTCAATAATTTGTTTCTTAAATTCTCTTACTGATGTATGCTTAGTAGCAATAGACTCCATCATAAACTTACAAAACTAAAAGTAAGTTAAAATGAATAATAATGCTTTGTTTTTACAAATTTTAACCTCTGTATCATTAACTTGTAATAAGTATAACTGAACTTTGCCTTCTCCTTTTTGCAGTACCCTACCCAATCTTACTATCAACTAAACATGCAGTATAGAAACAGAGATGGAGAAAAGTGAATCAGATAACATGCTAGTGACACTACATGTTACCTCTGATCCAGATTCAATATCCTTTAATGTCTCGTCCAGTCTCTTTATTTCATTTTCTTCATTATCATTGATTCTGCATACTTTAAAATCAGCAGATGGTACACCAACCAGTGGAACTAGCTTCACTTTCAATTGAGAAAGTTTTATTGTATTACTAACTTCTACTTGTATCTCTGTATAATAATGAATAATATACTGTATAGGGGTTATATTTCACTGGTAATAAATTACGCGAATTTTGCGTTGCCATTAAATTCATGAAATTAAATTCCACAAAAGAGGTGTGGCACACTAGGAAAAATGGCTGCAGAAGGTAAGATTTGCAAAAATTTATACCAACATATGGCAAATCTGGACAAATTCGCAAAATTTTATACCAACAAATGGCAAATCTGGACAAATTCGCAAAATTTTATACCAACAAAATAAAACTCCTATACGGTAATAAAATAATGTCGTGGTTTATTTAATGTGAAATTATTTTCATGCTGGCTCAAATCCACTAAACTTAATTCCACTAAATTTTTTAGCATGCAAATTACAAAAAATTAATTCCAACAAAAATTTCAGGCCAAGAAATAAATCAGCTACAATTATGGTTTAGATCACATAAGGACATCAATATGCATCAAAATTTTTTGTTTATGGTAATTTTGGAACTATTTTTAGAAAATTTCACAAATTCGTCACAAGTTTATTCTTACTTCTCTCTTCTCCTATCTTTTCTTCATTCGCTGAGATAATATTCATTACTATGTCTCCTTCTCTTCTCAATCTCTCAGTTTCTCTAGCTCCAGTTAATTCACTAATGGGTGTGGCATCAAGTCCAGGACGCAATGGAGGTATTGTAATGTTCAGTAGTATGCAATTGACATGAAAATCAACATATCTGTACATCAAACTATGCTTGAATTCTTTTTGATAATCTTCAAGATCTGATGATACATATAGCAACTGAAGCAGAAAAGAAAAAGGCAGTATATGCAAGAACTAAGACAGTAAAAGGAATACAAAAATAAAGACACAAACAATATAATTAAGCTCTTATTGTTACCACATGGCACATGTACATGTATATACTTGGTATTTGTGCAGTCCAAATAAACTAAAAGCGTCTCCTTTAAAGAATACGTGCTTCAAATAATTTGAATCTTTTTCTAAATGCTTAATACCACTATCAGTATTTTTATCCAGTGCTAGTAATCTCATAATTGATGAATTGAGATTAAGTAACTAGAGGAGAAAAAGAAAGGAGGGAGGGAGAGAAAGATTATCTTTAAGGGAGGAATTGACTGACAAATCCTCTCGGTACCTCAACATATCATTCTCAACTTTCATAATTATCATGACTAGCTGTCAAACTTATCATGCATAAAATACCGTATACTGGTTTATTTTCGTGGTGGAAAATTTTCCCTGAATCTTACATTTCTAAGATTTCGCGGAATTAATTTTCGCAAATTGCTTGCAGACTGCACCATTTGGCATGGAGATGTAGAATTTCATGGTGGAAAACTTTCGCGATGGAGCAAAAACCACGAAATTTGTGAAAATATTTCACCATGAAAATAAACCAGTATACGGTACATGTACAGTTATGGTTAACTAATCCATAAAGTTACACAATTAAATTTTCATAAAAATTTCTGTACAGTAACATTACATCATACTGCCCCACTCATGCAATCTGTCTTAATTGATTGAACTCCTCCATAAAGGTTTGAATCATAATATGATATAGCCTGCACACATATGGTGTAGGTACATAAATGTACATACATGTATATACAATACTACTATAGATATAGTTTTGTACGTAAATTATTTTCTAAATACAATACCCCCAGCAAGGCACAGAAAAGAGAAAGGAAAAAATGAAAGATACAGGTAAACAGTAATATGCAATACAAATGATTCCTTCCTCTTACTTCTTTTATACGTTGTTTTAATTCTTTAACAGTCCAACTTTCTTGACCTCTCATTGCTTTAGCTGGTCCTATTTCACCAGTTGACAGATCAACCACTGATATCTCTAGATTAATACCTATACCACATGATGCAAACACAGATGTATTGTCATGGTAACCAACCACACCCACTTCCAGCATTGTATTTCTTAAAGGTTTCATTTTCTTTACGAGTTTCTAAGAATAATCCATAATATCCAGCCACACCCATAATCTGTCCAATAGGTTGATGTTGAAACTACATTTAATAATAAGACAATATAACAATAGGATGGATACCATATAGCGGTTTTTTAGGATAACAAATTTTGCAAATTTTTTAAGATTTATGAAATTAAATTTCTTAAAAATCAATTTAATACAGTATTAAAATGTCAGAAGAGTGGAAAATCGCAAAAATTAATTTTGTGAAACTCCGGATACAGGTCATTCATGAAATTATTATCCTCAAAAAAACAGCTATATGGTAATAATTACCTCATCAAGATCAAAGGACTGTTCCATTGCATGATACAAATAATAATATTTAACTAAACGACATCTCTCAATAGGAATATGAGGAGATAATTCCATTAACTGATAAAGAAATGAGGAGAAAAAGAAATAAAATAGAGATGAACAAAGAACTACATTTCCATCAACTATAATTATAAGTATAAACCTTGTAAGCTTTATCCAGTACAATGGGTAGCAATTCATTTTTATCTACTTCAAGTGTTGACTGTGTTAATTCACCAGTAACAGGATGATTACAATATAAAAAATACTATAAAATAAAGTTGAGAGAATACTCACTATCACTGTCTCTTCTCTCTTACAGTAGATATTTGATTCTCCATTTCATCATCACTCAGGCTATCAAACTCAATTTCTTCATCATCAGTCTCTTCATCTTTCAAATCTATTCAACAATTGAATGATAAAACATATCATCAATAAAACCTTGAATATCTTTAATAATCTTCTCATTGTGCTTCTTTGCAGTAATTAGTTCGATGTTCATTAATGTTATTCTTTCTTGTAACTTCTCTATTATTCTTTTATTATCTAGTAATGGCTGATAGTCTGGCCTTGTCATTGCTTCAAGACAAAATTTGCAGTCATCAATTTCAAAAGACATTCCTCTCCTCACTTTACTAGCAGCTTTAATCAATTATATAATTATTAGTATCATTAATAAACTGCACTAACCTGAATCAGTATTGCTAGAAAGTGACCATGAATACTCAACCTTCATTTTTGATAATTTGTCTGACAATTCTTTGTTTTCTTCTTCTATCTCATTAAACTGAGAGCTCAATGCAGTCAACTTTTCATAAAGTGGTTCTTCCTATTAATAATTATTATAATTAATACAAACTAGTGAGATATTTCTCAACTTCTTTGATTGATTCAGTATCACTTTGAATAGACAATGATTCTTCCTAATAATTAAAATATTAACACACAGTACAGCTAAAAATATCATGGGAGTTAAAAGGGATACTGGCGCAGTTTACGGAAGAGCTGCATGGCTTTAGTACACGGAAAGTTTATAAACAAAAAATGGTTGCCAGTTTATATACAATACAGCAAAAGTTTATGCTCTGATTCTTGCTTCTGGAGCTCTGATACTTCAACAAATGATGCTTTATGTTTATCTCCACCAAAATAAGAGGTAAGCACTTAACTGCATTTTTCTTCATCAAGTTTGCAGTCCATAAAAAGCTAGTGTCTTTTTGACAGGTGAGTTTGACTGTGTAGCTGTGTTTGCTGGAGTCCATATCTTTCTGAGCTCTTCTCTTGCCTTTATCTGACATCTTAACTTAGCAGGACTTTTTCTCTGTTCTTCTGCACATCAATATGAATGCTCAAAAAATTTGCATAAGTTCTGCCATTTTTCTTCGATGAAATATGATTTTTCATTTTTGGTCCCCAAAAATCATATTTCATCATCAATTTTACGAAAAGTGTGCAGATATTTGCACACAGCGACAGTATCCCTTTAATTTGGCTACAATTTGCAATTGGCAGATTTTATATTAGCGATTTAGTACCCAAGTGTCACTGCATGAGCATGCTCAGAATGAGACAAAACGGCAGATTCTATACTATATCCCAACTGAGTTTGACCCAAGAAAAACTGGAATAACTTTTTCTAGAAATGCGGGATAAGGATGAGACTTTTACAGGTTCTTAGTCGCCCAATGCCATCACAGGATCTCAGGTCTTGGGTCTCTCAGCCCTTGGGAACCCTGAGAACCGGGTTCTCCCTATAAACCCAATGGCATACCAAAATGACGTTTTATGACAATTTATCTACGTCATAGTTTACATAAGAACATGTGGTCGAGCGCCCAAACTGATAATTCTTCTTTTAAAAGCTAACAGAGCCAGATCTTTTGATAATAATGGCCATTATGAAGACTAGTAGGCTCCAGCAGCTATTGTACTGCTTATCAGCAACAGCAAGACTGTTTTAAGAGTGAAACAACATAGCTGCCATGCTTCTATGAATATAGTTAAAATACGTCATTTTTGTGACGTAACTACATTTCGCAGCTGCTTCCACTTCCGTCCCAAACTGAACTGGGATATAGTATAGAAGAAATGTAAGTGTGGACATACAAATATTATACAAACATCGCACATGGGTGAAATCAATTATAGGAACGACCTGGGGGCTACGCCCCCAGGTCGTTAAAAACTAATGACACAGCGACATATACATGAACATGTAGCAAAGCAAAGTCTATGAATAAATAGTATAGCAAGCTAGGCTATATGTGAGGATGGAATTGTAGAGAAAAACCCTAATGCTGCCTACATGTACATGTATATTGGTGAGGACAATTAATCACCATCAAGTATTGCATGACAAGTATAAATGTTCAAGGAATTTTTAGATAAAAAAACTTGCACTTTATAATTATGATGATAGAGTGCAATAAACAGTAGCTAACCTCTAGTACTTTCATCAATGATAGTTCTTGTTTCAATCCAATTGTTTCCTATTATATGTATACAAGCAAAGAGCATCAATAAATTAAATGTGCATCAAAGAGTTTGGTAGTAGTATGACATACCTTCTCTTTGCTACTGATAGCATCTCTTAGTTTATATTCAGCTTCTTCAAGTATAATATAAGAAATAACCTGTAAACAATATATTACTTAAAAATTGCACTTTTATATGAAGCAAATTTTAACTGACTTCTGTACGTACTAAGTCTTGATCCTCATCTTTTAGTTCCTACATGCATACAAAAACAATATTCATAAAACAATATTCAACTATCGTGTACCTTTTGTCTGACATCTTGTCTCCTCCATAACGTTAAGTTACCAATAGTCAGTTTCTTTAATCCTTGTCCCATTAGTATATGAATATTCTCTATCATCCTCAATACAGTAAACCCAACATCAGAGAAAGGAAAGGAGCAAGTGACACATATTGAATTACCAGATTTTATATACTCAATCCTCAGCAGTTTACCAGATGCTTTTGCAAGAAGGTCCTCAATATCCTTGAGAAAAAGCTCCTCAGGCTCCCAGTCAAGGACAAAAGTAACTGTTTCACATTGTAGAGGAGGAATGGAAGCAAATCTTTCCTTCAAGCAAAGACTGATAGAGAGTGACTTGCAAAATTCCTTTAGCTCTGTTTTATATTCTTTAATGTGTTCATCTGCTTCAGTGATCTTCATCTCATCCACTACACTATGAAGGAGTGCAATATTAGTCAGTGAACACTCATTTTGAATTAGACGCAAGAGACTAGGAATATCACGACAATTCTTCACTTTTTCACTTAAAACTGGGTTACAATAAAACAGAAGTTCCTTTATATCTTTCAGTGAACAGCGCTTCTGTTTAATAGCCTTGCCAACATTGTAAAACATCCTTCCATAAGACATTCTCATTGAGGTAAATTTCTCCCGTAAATCTTTTGAAACAGGAACTTGTACTTCAGCTACAGTAAAAGGTAGTATTGCTTCAGTAGTATATAAGAGGTGTATACCTTGAGGTGAAAAAGGTTGTGAAGATGAATTACTAGCAATTACTGCATCAGAAGGAGATGTACACGTATCTATGAATTAAAAATAAATAATAGAGGATATGCATGCTAAGTATTTTCATTGCAAAATAAATGTATTCGTTGCATACCGTAATAACTTTTAAGAAAAAAAATTAATTCATTGGAAGTCAGTTTTCCATTGGCAGCAATGGAGAAACGATAGAAACAGGCTTGGTACCAGGAAACTGCTAGTTTTCCATTGGCAGCATTGGAGAAACGATAGAAAAATGCTTGGTACTAGGAAACCGCTCTGTATTTCTTAATAGCAATCTTTCAGGTGACTATTAAACCCCATTAAATCCTCAGCATGCTTTCTAAGCTTCCAAAAAAGGTCTCAAGAAGGTAGCAAGGCTGTGTTTTCCTCCATTGAACTCTTAGTAAACTTGACATCCAACAAGGCGGCCAATTTACTGTGTGGGTTGGATATACAGTACTTAAAAGTTGAATATACTTAGCATGCATATCCTCTATTAATGAAGCAACACTTATATGTTTATTACATGTACAGTGTACATACCGGATTGTGTTGTATTGGTTTCATCATCAGTACTCGTATTATCTATAGATATTAATGAATGCACTATAAATTAATTAATAATTATTACCTTGTGGAACTACATCATGATCTCTAATAGTCTCAGGAACCACACCCACTTCAGGAGTAGGAAAATACTTACCTAAACTCAATAATAAACTAACAATTGTCATTAGTATAGGATATACCGAACAGTATACATGTAGTTGCGATTGGGACATATATCACATGTATAATTATAACTAACCCACCCACGGGAAACTATGAACTATGAATAAAATTATAGTGGCCAGTGATACTCACTAATATCATCCAGTATAGTTTGTCCCAGTAATACATTAGTACTTATTGTACACAATACATTAGCAAATGTATGTAAACTGTTGGGATCAGTTTGAACAGCTTCTTTGACAGCAGTTAATAGAGCCTCACGTTGATTAGGAATAGAGGGAATAGCTGACACCACTCTACTAACTGCTTCTTGTGTTAACATACGTTCACCATAAAGTAACCAAGCAATACCAACAGAATCACAAAGAGACTGAGACAGGACAGTATGACGATTATTAAAAATATTAATAAGAACATGATGTTCTATGATAGAAAATGCAATTATTACATACAGTTATGGTTGACTCACTTAACTTCTCAGCTACAGCAGTTTCATTCATAGATCGTAGAGCATCTGACAGTGAGTCCAAGTTGGCTCCTCCTCTACTGTCAACATTATCAGCTCTACCTAACCATTGGGAGAGGCACTCTGTCATACAACGAGATACATCATGAGGATGATTCTTTTCTATGACGTCCAGTGAACTCTTCAATAGTCCCAGTCTCAGTCCAAGCTCATACCAGTTTGCTTTAGAAAACCCACATCTCTTCAATAAGTCAAGAACATCAACAAGATCATCAACACCTACACATGAAAATAAAATGGTGAAAATTTTATCATCAAAAAAACACATAGACTCCTGATTACCTAAACAAGTTTGACTAGTAGCCATAGCAACAAATTGATCCTGTCCTGAGGCCAGGACCTCACACTGAACTTTTTGAGTCTTTAGTTTCTTCTCCTTTGCAGTTCTTTGCTTTAATCGAGGCTTTAATGCTTTTTGGGAACAATTTAAGGGCGTGGCTGAATTGTTGAAATGAAAATGATTTCTATTTCAATTCGTACAATTAGAATACAAAATGTCTGATGAAACTGATGATGAACTCTTTGAGATAACAGATTTTACTAATGCCTCCCCGTGGGAAAGGTAAGTATCAGCTCCTTTATATAATTTATCAAACATTCTCTAATTTTGTCTCCACCATTGAAGACATATTGCAACAGTGGGGCCTCACTGCATCCACTTATTCAGTAAGACATTAACTGACAGTCTCTCAGTCACTGTATCTCTTCTTAAAGGCAGATTCTGGTTATTGGCCACAGCATAGGAAGTCAGAGAAGCTCTCTTATGTTGGACATAATTTCATTGTTAGCCTCCACGTGTCTGGAGAGAAGAAACGAGCGATAGCCAAACAATGAGGTGATTGGTGGTAGTGGGTGTGGTTTATAATGGATGTGGTTTGCTATAGATCAGGATTGGCCTGATGCTATGGTACATATGATGGATTCATCAAGTGATTTCCCTCCAAGAGCTCATCATCATATCTCTAGATGGTAATAATTATCGTATAGTCGTATACATGTACATGTACCGGTACTTGTAATCATTATTTCTAATAATCTCAGGATGGGGACATTTGGTATGAAACTCTTATATTATTTTCTAATAATAAAAATTTTTTGAATGTACATTGTAAAGGATCTATATCTATGTAATAATTATTGTACTCTAATTGTATTGTACTATTTTACTGACTGGAACATTCTAGAAAATGACTTATTTCTGTATTGTATTATTGTACTTTCTGGAACCCTCCAGAAGACTGTGTAACTTTCATGTATTTGTATATGTCCAGAAGTTTCTGGAACCTTGTGATTAGTATAAATAGAGTTTTCGAGTTATTGTTTTGTTGTTCTCCACTTGTTTATTCTAATAAATTCTTTTAAAAGTCAAAGCGATCTTTGACATACATGTACATTCACCATTTATTGTATATGTCTTTATTTGTGTCCATTTACAAGTACATGTGCATTTAAAATCAAAATTGGATTTTATGAGTTTTTAAAGTTGCTCAGATATCAGGCCAAAGTTTGTATACTATAGTACAGGGTTAAAGGCCAAATTTTGCTGAAAATGACTAGAAGAGAATTTTTCATTTTTATAAATTTTTTTTATACATATACATGTTCGTATGTTGTATAGAAGATTCAAGCTGATTCTGATCAAATTTAGATTTTTTAATGAATTTTTAAAGTTGCTCCAAATGCTATGTACTGTATGTATCAGCTCATGAAGCTCATGCTGTTTAGCTCACTTAGCATGCTTTGTGGGAAACCCTGGCCTATATTGTACAATATTTGCATGTAGTTCATAATTATTATTCAAAATACAATCAATCATTAGGTATGGTGTTGATCAGTTTATATTGATATCTCCTGATGAGAAGAGTCATGCAATATCAAGTGAAGCTCAGTCCAAACTATTACTCAGTTCAATATCTCTGGCTGTAGCTAACACTGGATGGTCTGTTATAATAATTAATCTTATAATTTTAATTTCTCTCCATTTTATCTCTTCTCTTCAATACTTGTCTCTTCTCTTCTCATTCTCTTGTCCTCTATTTCTTCCTTCAGTACATTGCCTATATTCATTCAGATACAGAAGAATTGGTGTCACATGTTTAGCGGACAGTGTGAGGGGTATGGTCTTCGTACGTGTTTTGAAATGATACATTTGAGACATATTCCACCTCACTTTAGTCACCTCTCAGGACTACTGAACTTATTCCGATCAAAACTGGTACATTTCTATTTCTATCTCTCTTCTATTAACTATTATTTGTAATTTACAATGAATATGTAGAATATGTAATGGTTTTATTAATAGAATGGTGTGAATGTTAATCCTCCTAATATTAATATTGCTGCCAGACTAACATATTGTCTAAGACACTGGAATGCGGAGGATTGACCAGTGGGTCCACTCTGTTAGTACCTCATTCATTATAATCATTAATTTTATTATTAATTCCAGCATCTGGTGATGGGAGTGATTCTTTCCTTACCCTGCCAGTAGGAGCAAGTTCTGATCCTATACAGTAAATATTAATAATTGATATCCTTCTCTACATCTCTCCCTCTCTCTCCAAAGGAGATTCATCTTTGTGCTGTTTGGCCTCTACTAACTGAATTAACAGTCACTGA